CTGCTGTGGCCCTGCCATTTCACTGGGAAAGGACAGCATGGCCCAGCAGGAGAAACATGATGGCTGTAAAAGAAGTGCACTGGGAAGAGGCTACAGGTATCAGCTGGGCATTGAGCAAGGGACTGGGGGGACTGGAGGGAGTGGAGGAAGATGGGCAGAATGGTGAAGAGCTGCGAAGGTGAAATTGGTAAGTCTGAATATAAGAGGGTGGACAAGGCAGCACCTGAGAAGAAATCCAAGGAGATGTTGATATGGTTAGTGTGACAGAGGCTCAGGCCATGGGGACAGATGTTGGTAAGTGGGAAGGAGAAGTGTGGTCTGCACTTGGCCATGTTACAGATGCATCAGGATAGGATGGGAGAATAAAAGCCAAGGGTTCAGAAAATTGTAAGAGAAGATGAAGGATATGGGTCTAGCCTGAATGTGTGCAGCAGAAGTCAAAGGCAAAGAAGCCTTCCAATTTAAATGACTTTTTTCAGTGACAAATCAGGGTTGTTTCTCAGACAGTCTTACACACCACAGCAAGCAGCCCTGCTACAGAAAACAACAGACATATTTTGAGCACTTTCACATTTTATACATGAGACTGATGTTTGCTGTAGCTTGCATTCCTTGCTGCTCCTTGTCAACCAGGTGGCAGTGGCCTCTGAATTGGAAAAATCAAAGGCTTCATGACTACAGAGGGGTTTCTTTAGTGTGTGCAGGTGCCAGATGTTCTCTGCAGGGTCACGGACTCCTGAAACCAGGAGAAAGGCTCATGGCCGATCTTTGCTTTCTCCCTAGCACTTCCATGGCTGCCCCTGCACTACCCTGCCAATAGTGGCCAAAGGAGACAACTCTCTGCTGGAAAGGCAGGGGAGAATTCAGAGCCAAAGACAGAGGAATAAAAATCTCATTTTGAGATGCTGCTTTACTGACTCACTCAATTTGGGCCAGCTGCTTACAGGTAGTTTAACAGCGAGATAAGAGCAGGAAAAGAAGTATTTGCTGTTCCTGTGGAAAAAAACCATGGTGACATTTTTCTCAATATAATTTTTTAAGTTTGTCTAAAGCAGGACTTCTTGACAATTTCTCAACAACCTGAGGCTAGACTCTGTTCCAGCAATTTACTTGGGATCTGAATAGCAGATACATTTTGAAAGGTCATATAATGGTGGAATATCTTTCTGGGGCCAGACAGAATTGTCCCCCCAGGCTACCAGTTGGAGAGCTCTAGCTGGGTTAAAAAAAAAAGCAAAACAGAATGCAAATGCTATGTTTTTACATGTTGAGTTTTGGGAAATGTTTAAGCAGAAAAGGAAAGAGTTTTCTTACTTTCAAAGTTAATAAAATCCCTTCTTTTCCTTTAGAAAAAGGGTTTGGTTTTTTTTATATGGACTTTCGGAACAAAATAATCTAATCGGCGCCAGCTACAGTGGACTTAGCAAAACAATTTTTTTGTAATACACTCTAGATTTTTACAATGCTTTAGAGTTGAAGGTCAGCAGGGTGGGAGGTTTTGAAGAGCAGTGTGACATACTTGTGATAATTAGCTACCTGTACTTCTGCTATTTCTATCCTTCTGGAGGTGGTTCACATGGCTGCACAGTCAACATGTCTGTCTGAGACCAACACAGCGGGCACTCAGCTTTATGAGAAAGTAAGTTAAAGCTGCAGAAACTTGACTTGGATATTTGTGTGTCAGGAGCAAATATAAGGGGACTAAGATCCCCTAGCAACCTCTAATTTCTGCTTTTACTTGCCTATGCACTTCACTCAACACATACAAAGGCCACCTTCCTGCTTTCAGGCTGGAATATCCCACAATTAATTCTGGAGGTTACTTCTGGAGTTTACTTCATCAAACAAGTTGATGTTTAGTTTCTGCCAGTATAACTCAATATTAAGAAAAATTTCTGCTAAAAACCCTCAATTCCTCCTCAGCTGCCAACCACGATTTCACAGTACCTTGGAAGCTGCAACAAAGCCAGCTCCACAACCCTGTCCCACAACACAGAGTATGTGTTGCTGTCTTCATGAAGCTTTGTAGTCAGAAAGCCTTTGAGCTAAGTCTTTCAAATAAGAAGATACACTTCTTTGCTGGACTTGGCTCTCACCTCATTCCTCCATTTGCCTTCGGTCTTCCCACTTGTCAATACGTGGAGAACCATTTTTAGCAGTCCCCTATATATTTATGACAGGATTGGCAGTTTCATTGCCAGGCTAACCTGTGGATAGCCTTGAAGCATTAGTTTTCAATGTCACCTAGAGCTGTGCTGGTCTGTTCTTCTTGTTATGAGCTTTTATATGGTTGAAACTCTAAAAAGCAGGTGGGCTCTGGAGAGAATGGGGCTAATTCATAAGTTCTCATTTGAATTTCCCAACTGCCTCTTCACATCAAAGTCTTTGTCCTTCATTCCTGTAGTGCTTGAGAGTGCAGAAACACAATGAGTAGTGCTGAAGGGGAATGGTGTGACCCCTCATATCAGAGGAGAGAGCTCCTTCAATCTAAGGGGAAAATAGCCTGTTCGGACTCTGTGAATGGGCAGAAGGAGCATAGAGAAGGGGCATGAAACTCTTGGAAGTACTGTCTGACATGCATCATAGCTAGCAAGGGATGAGGTAAGAGTTTTAGGAGGTGGGCTGTCCAGGAGAGGAGAGGGGGAAGGCAGCATGGAAGGGAAGCACAGTGTGGAGACTGAGAGTGGCTTTAAAATCAAATTAAACTCCAGTAAGTCTTAACTCTGGAGTTTGCCTGAGAGACAGAGTCCAGATCAGCTGCAAGTAACAGGAAAAGAAAAGCAATAGTTTGTCCAGTTGCACTTCTCTGGGAAGGTCTGCAAAGAGCGCAGGGTCACTGAGAACCTGAAATTGCACATCCCAGTGGTGGGCAGGCACATGGATGAAGCACATTCCCTGTCCACCAGGTGGGATAGAATCAAATATGTCAGGGTCCCCATGCTGTTGCATTGTTAGAGGGACCCTTGACAGCAACACCTTTGCAAACAGCAGGATCCCACTGAGACATCATGCACACATCACCCCATGGCTGTTGGCTGGCTGAGCCCTGCTGCTGTGGGTGCAGCTCAGGGTGTTCCTATCTGGTGGCTCACAGGCAGCTCTGGCTGGGGTCTTTCTGTGCTTCTGCTGGTGAGGCTGAGCCAGCAGCGAGGCCAGTGTTATGTGATCACAATTCAGCTTTCAAACCCAGCCTCTAACGTGGTCTGTCAGCTGAGGCACAGGGTTAGCTCGACCCATCTGTATCTGCTCTGGTGCTGAATTGGGTCAAGTGGGCTCAAAGTATGGCTGCCTGTGGTCCACCGAGAAGCCATCCCCTCAGAAGACTGGGCTTTCAGCTAATGTTCAGCCCTTATCTCTTTGCAGTCTGATGCATCACAGCTGCTGGAAAGCTGTCTCCACAGCTCTGTCTTCCCTTCAACCCTGCAACCTATCTTTCCTTTTCCTTGGGTACAGAAATTCCGCTTCTGCGACATGCTCCTGCTGCTGACCCCGTCATAATTTCACCTAACCCCGAGGTGTCCCACCCTCTCAATTTGCCTCAGATACTTATCTGTACCCTCCCCACCTCCCCTTCCAAGGAGGGACATTTTCCATCCTACCATCAGCAGCCACAGCACCCTGCTGCTGGTGAGATGCTAAACCTTCACCTCTAAGCAATGCACACAACTCTGAGCATGAGACAATTAGGAGAGAAAGAGGGAAGGGGGAAAGTATCGACAGGAGTAAATTGAGAGAAATCATAAAGCTTAAGCAGAAAGAAAGCAGTTTGAAAGGTAAAGTATTCAGAGAAAGCCCTTTCCTGGATGAATCTAATTGTTTTGTTATCTTTACCCACCAAAGCATTTACTTTGGTTTGTCGCCCGATCCACAAACACTTTCGAGGAGATGACATTACCGAAAGGCAGGAACATCTGCATCAGCTCAGCATCCCCAAACTCCTGGGGCAGATGGTAGATAAACAGGTTACAGCCCTCTGGTCCTGTCAAGAGAAAAAGAGAAATAGGTTATGAAAAAGCACATGGTGGACATTTACTTCAGCATCCCCTCTCTCTGACTGGTGAGGGGTCACCTCTAGGATCCAGTTTAGACTCTCAAAGAAACAGACAAAGCAAAAGACCAGGAATGCAGAAGTTCACCTGGAGACTATGCTAACTTCATTAACCTTCCCAGGACAGACACCAGATGCTAGAGACAGAAATGCAGCAGCACACATGGTATGGAAAAACAGAATGGAGGAAAGATCCGTTCTACAAGGTTCTGCAAGAGAGATTACAGATGGATTTAAATATAAATAATTAGACAAGAGGAATTGCCCCTTTTTTTGCCTCAGTGCTGTAACACATAGTCTTACAGACCTCAGAAGGTGTTTGGAAAAATATCCAAAGAGGAGTCTATTGGAATATGCAGTTTTGTTCAAGTAGAGACCCTCAAAAAGTGGTCTGTTTAAATTGTATTTTGGAGAGAAGCTGCCTCTGGTCAAGTAGCCTAGAATGAAACCTTTCAATGTGATTTTGAAGCATGCTGTACTTGAGCAAAAGTCAAAAAGGAACAGGTGTATCCAAGTAGTGTTGTTGGAAAAAAACCCAAACATTTAAATCCCTTGCAATGTTCGCTAGCAGAAAACTGCATAGTTTGAGGTGGAAGTGATTATTTTTTTCATGGTTTGATTTCCAAAGGTGCTTCCAGCTGCTGCCCAGCTCTACACTGACCTGGACAAGTAACGCCAGCTCTGCTTTACTTAGGGAGTTGGACATGAAGGGGATGCAGTGCTCGCTTCTTGCCGTCAGGATATAAGGACAGAGGGACAAAGGGTTTCCTCCTTCCCCAAAACCCCATGACCTGATTCAGCCAACTTTCCCCCACATATGTCTGGGACACAGTGTGGGGAAGGAATGGGTTTTTTTTAATGCTCTCGTTTTCTTCATCAGGGCATAATTACAGTGTCATAACACAGCAAATTACAACTTTGCCTTTCCTGTTAGGGAGAGGAGTTCGCCTAGATGCTCCCACCTTTTATTAGCCATTACTCATCCCCCCGGCTGGCAGGAGAAGTACGGCGAAGTCAGGATTCTGACAGATGCCCATTTAAAGCTCATTAAAATTCCTGGGCCTCAGCGTGATTGAAGTCACAGGCTCTCCACATTTCCTTTTGGATTAATGGAAAATGAAGCCCTAATGAATATTTGCTAAGCACAATTTTCCCCACTAATTTGCTAAAAGGACTGTCACGAAGGAACAGCTGATCCTTTGCATCTTGTGCATTTCCTAGAGGTCATGAGGATGGTAACAGGGTTTCTTCCAAATGGGGGGGATAGTGATATGGTAGGATAATTAACTAATTAGGCACCCGATCATCTGCTTAGCTAAATTACTTTTGAACCTCAGTGGCTCACAATCAGGCTCCCCTATTTCATGCCAAGCTTTTCCATCTTCCCCCTACCTCCTGTCTGCCTCTTCCTTAGTCTCCTCATCGAACAACTATCCCTTCTTCAGTCCTTGCTGCAGTTCAGTTCCACACAATGTGGAGTTATTGGCACGATAAACTAGATATGTAACAGTCTAAAAGTGTTAAACAAACACTGACCCCCTTAGGTGTCTGTTAGAGTTGAGAAAATTCTGCCCGGGAGAAGACCACGGTCCAGAATAGCAGGAAAAAAATCATTCCTTCATCTGAACGTACCCCAGAGCATTTATGCTGTGGGATTTGAGAGTCGCAGTATAATAGAATGGATAAAATCTTGGCTTTGATGCAACTAGTGGCAAAATTCCCACTGACATCACCAGAGCCAGCAGTTTGCTCTGTAAAACTGGCAAATTCTTTCAAAAATGCCAGCTGCATTTCCTGGGGTCTTGGATATGTTGTGCATGAGTAGGGATTCTGCCTGTGTGTGCCGAGAAACACCTACTAAGGCATAAGGCAGACCAGGAGGCAATGCAACTTCATCTACACCGGGTTTAGAGGTTGGGCTCAAGGAGAAATCAACCCTTAGTTCATTCTGAAATCAGTTTTTCCTCACGCCGCTTGGAGACCAAGAGGGAGAGGATGTGAAAAAGCAGAGACCATCCTCAAAGCCCAGTACAGCTCTGAAATGTGTCTGGGAAACTCATGCTGTGATTTCTCATACCGACTCATACATTCCAGGCCAAATGCTGTTCCCAACTGCAGAGGGCTTTTGCTGATTTCCAATGCTGAAAACTCCACCTGCTACTGAGAAACAAGCTGGGGTAGTTTGATTTGGTTTACCATCCTCACATATGAAAATTCTGCCGTTAGAATTTAGCAAGAAAGTTCTTTCTAAATCCATCCATCTATAAGTTACCTATCACAGTTGGACCCCTTGGTAAAGAGTTCACAAAACAAACTGTCTATGTCTCAGCCCTTCTACCTTGTTTTTTTTTTCTTCTGCCTGAGTCAAGTTAATCTGAGCAGTCTGTGGAAGACTACATCTTTAGGAGTATGGGCACCTCTTTGAATATATGTGGATATTTTTAAGAAACCAAATGCATGAGTTGTTCAGCTCAGAATGCTATGAATAGCTAAGTTAGTTCTCAGTACACACATGCAATGAGTTTTAAAAGACTTGGTCAGGATCACTGGAACAAAAGGAAGATCACAGCTGGTATGGCAAAACCTTAGTGAAGACTCCAGCTATCTTATTGGAGAGAAAGATCTTGTTTTGGGCTGAGTTAATGGATTATTGGAAATCAGTATACTTGACAGTTCAGGGCTGAATACAGTGCTAAAATTATTTATCACACATTTTACGTTAGTTTTCAAAAGGGCTGTAAGTCAGCTCAAAATCTAACCCTCATGACATGTTATGAGAATAGAATCAAGGTTCATTTCTACCCTGACATTTACCGTGGCTCTTGGTTTTATGGCTTTAAGTCATAGATATTTCTGTTCATTAGTACACAGATAGCCTTGATTCAGCCGAAAGGAAAGTTTTACAGAATGTGCAGTTTATGAACAGTTTGTAAATTACAGGCAAACCATGATGGATAATGGAGAAAACCCGTGACTTAAGGGCACAGGGCACATGCTGGAGAACTCTCTACTGAGTCCATGTTGATTTGGCTTGCTTAGAGCTGAGTTGCTCTCATTGCTCTGCCCATGCTTCTCACCCTCTAGCTCATTCTTAGTTATTTAGCGTGGGTCAGCAGCAGACCCAACCTACCCCTGGGTGTCCACTGTCAACATGAGTAAACTTCACATACTTGAGCTGACATCAGCCATCTATCATTGCATCCTAAACATCATGAGTCAGAGTCATAAGGAAAGCTATGACCACACTGCTCTCCCAACAGTAATTAAAACTGGGCCGTCCTGTAAGGTTGTATGGAGTTAGCCTGCTGGCCTTTTGTCAGCTGCACACCTCACCTCTACCACAAATACTCAGAGGGTGGAACTGCATTGCCTTTTCTGCATCTGCTTGCTATTTAGTCTCTAGTACATCCGAGCACAGGGCAGGTGAGTGTCACAAGCCTGCACTACTTTATTTCAATATTGAAGTGTACTTCTGAGTTTCAGAAACTACGTCAAGATGAGTAATACCATACAAATTTAAAATTATCTCTAAGTTTTGCCTGGTTGACATGGCGTGAATCAAGAGTTCATCTCTAGCTTTGGTCGTTTTGGATCTGTTCCTCCCTGTGAACCTTGTCAGCTGCTGGCAGCCTCCGTGTTTCTGTGGAAGTAATGACTAATCTCTACAGGAAAGTTGCAGCAGCCAAGCAGCTCTGGGCTTGTTATCCAACTGGTATCTGGGAGTGGAGAGTTAGCATTGTTATTAACAATGTGATCATTGATGTTATTGTTGTGGTAGGGCTGGTTCATTAACGAATCAATGTTTGTGCACATCCTTGCAAACATAAAATACTCTTCTCTGCACTGAGCATTATTATTATTAGAGTTCCCTCTTGCTGTGTTTTCCTGTTAAAGGTTAGAGATGTTTAAAGGTCTTGACCCTCTGTTAAAAGGGAATGTGGTGCCTTAGAGATTCTCCCTCTAGCAAGCAAGAAAGCAAGCCACAGCATCTAAACACTGTAGGAAAATGTAGGACATGGCAACGGAAATCTGCATCAGACCTGTGGTTAATCCTCTATATCTGGCCCCTAACCATCTTCAATACCCTCTGCTTACAGGAAGGAGCAAGGAGTTATGAGATAACTTGTCCACTGGGTGACACTCACCTCCAACCCACAGAGACACACCATGCCTTGCAAAAACAGGGAATTTTGAGCAGTGGGTCTTCAAAGTGTGCACAACAGCTATTTCTTTGCTTCTGATGGCTCCTGGTGCAATGCTATGCTGAGCAATGAGCTCGCCATTTTGTCCTGTGCTTAATCTAGCCCCAGTAAGTAATAAAAAGCAAAGTCCTTCAGCATGGGGGAAACATCTCTGTAATGATACGTTAGGTCTGTGCATCTGTTCTCACAGCAGGGACGAGTGCTAGAGCTAATCAGGAGCTGGAAGTTGTGTTCCCCAGGAAATTCTGACGTCGGAAAAAAAATTAATTCCAAATTAGATCGAAATGGCGACATTTCTAATTTTCTTACAAAATGACATTTTTCCCCCAAACTAGTTCTAGGCCATCAGTATGTTTTAGTTTGATAGTGTAATCTTGAGTAATTTCATTCTGACTGTTACACTATATTAAAATAGTAAATGTCATTATATATATATATAATAACACATATAGAATCTGAATTAGTGATCTAATAGAGGATAAAAGTTGAAATGTAATTATTTAAAATGAGAGTCTCTAAACTGAGCTGAAGCACCTGACTTAAGTGCCTCACTTAGGCAAGTAGTCTCCTCTTCTTGCTGAAAGGGAGCAGTGGACTCCCTGGAGGACAATTTGGACTACCTGTGTGGGTCACCTGTGAGGATTCCACTGCTCCCCACTGACTGTAAAGAAAACATTACATGGCATGGTTGCCTCCAAAAATGTCTACATACAATAGTGGGAGTTCCACCTTTCCTTACTTTTCATGATTCCAGTGTAGTCATCCAGTCCTGTGTACTAGATAACCCAGCCTCCTCTTGTTGTCAATGTAAAGAAACAGGTACTTTAACTACATGATTCGTACCATCCTGATGTAGAGATTGGGCTGGTTTCTGTTTCCAGATTATCAAAGGAGGCTGAAAGGACTAAATCAGCTTCTCTTAATAGTAGCTCCTTATTCCTTAAGTAGCAGGTGTATGAAATCACGTCACTGGCTTCTAATGAAAGCCCACCAGTGCTTTGTTTCCTATTAAATTCTTTATTCCAGTGCAATTGAATTTTTATCTGCATTCTTCTTGTTTGTCTTGAACACAGATAACCACCGGACATTAATGCCTATGTTGCTAGCAGATCTTTCCATGGCCCATGCACAACAGCATGCTCCCTCCCTGGGAACCAAGGAGATCTCAGCAGTGATTCCCCATGAGGATGTTCCCACATATTACTGTTATACTGTTATGGAAAGGGAGGAAAGTGGACCAGGGATTCAAAGCACTCGAGCATTTAATGGATACGCTCTAGGCATATGAGGAGGGCAACCCATGTGGTGCGATTGGTGTGCTGGGGCCAGAAAGGAGGACTCCTACTTACCTTCTCTCTGTTGCTGTGGGATCATAGGAGGTGGCTGTGGGAACGCTTGGCTAATCTGGCCATAAGCAGCAGGATAAGCAGCTGTAGGGGAGAGAAAGGGAGAGAAGAAAGAGGGACAGATTTCAGTGCTGGGAAGTAAGGAGCTTTCACTCCAAAACATCATATTAAGCCAGATGTGGGCTTTCCCCCTGCATTTTGGCTCTGAGAAGGGTCATCTCATGCAGCTTGAGATGTGGCAGAAGCACCACAGTGGTGCTTCAGGAGGTACCACATAGTCCTAAGCATCTCCTTCTCAGCTTCACCAGCAGAAACAGCAGGGACAGCCACGCAGTGTAAATGGGGATCTCCACAGAGATCTCTCCCAGCATAGGTGTGTGACCATTCCAGATGGTACCATAAGTACCATCAGCTCAGCGTGCCAATGCCTATGCCGACAGCTACACACAGAGTGCACACACGTGTTTCCCTCTGCAATCTCTCTTGCACCCTGATTAATTCATATGCTCTTACAAACAGTTCACATATGTGTTTCCTCCCTTCCTCTAACTTTTGTATGCCCACACACTGTATAGGCACTTACACCATTGGATATACATATTCATTCAAGGCTGGAGAGACTTTCTCTCACACAAACGCAGTGAAAACAGTATTCAGCAATTAAACAGTTTTCCCCACCTCAGCTTCCCCACCAGCAGACGAGGGGAGCCATTCAGTACCACAGATGGTAGATGATGTGCCTTGCTGCTAAAAATACAGAGTATGGGTCGCCTGTGAGCCCAGAGAGAGGGGGATAGGGGCCATGTGTGTGCAGAGGGGTTAATTAACAGCTCAAAGGGTTGAGCTGCTTCCCATCTATCAAAACTCACAAGCAATAAATGACAATAACTAAAACACCAGCAAATGAAGCCCTACATGGAGAATTAAATTAAGTTTCCAGATACAGTGCTGACATGAGATAATAGCCATTCCTCAACGGGAGCCCATTATTGCTCCAGTTACCGCAGGAAATAATGACTTCAGGGTGGCAGCTTCCTTGCAACGCTGGCCATGGACACCTCGCGAGGGGAGGCTGAACACGACGGGGTCGTGGTCTGCACCAGGTCACTTTGGCTGGTGTCAGTCCATCAACTGTAAAGGAGCTGCTCAGCAAACAGGGTGGTGCGAGTGGAGGCTGACCCACTGGGAACTGTGGAAAACATTGCTGGGAAGCCAGGAGTCTGTCTGTGTAGCTCCTCAGCAAGCCTCAAGCTAAACAGCTGGGTACGGGCACTGTAGATGTAACCTAAGATATGGAGATGTGCAGATGCACCGTACCCCGCCAGGCTCTGCAGGGTCTGGTTGCCCATCTCCCCTCCTTGCTGCAGCACTCAGGAGACCTGCCACAGAGAGTGGCCCCCAAATAAGTGGCCTGATTTTGCATTCGAGCACTGCTCTAAGCAGACCAGACCTGGTCCTGCCAATGAAGCTGCACCGAGGTAGAGGTTGGTGGGAGCCTACCCCTGGGGAAAGTGAGGAGGTTGCCTCCTCAGGGAGATATGACCCTGGCCTTTATGTTTGTTTTCACAAGAAGTGGAAATTTAACGCAAGAATCTGTGGCCCTTGGCTTGTCCCTCTATCAGCAAACACCTCCCTTCCCCAGTCCCCTCAGGTGTGTTCAGAGATTAAAGGCTTTAGAGAAGAGAAAGGTTTACTGGGAGAAAGTGTTAATACTAACGACCTGCGTACTGCTGCACTCCAGCGTAGGCTTGCTGCAAGGGGTCTGCTGCAGTGGGGCTCTGTGCTGTGGAGACACAAGAGAGAGAAGGATTTAAGGGATTAAAGCATGACAGGTACTCTTCCTTTCTCTTCCCTCATTAGTATGTGGTGTGAGACAGAGAAACCTAGAGGTTAAAGGTCCTGAAAGAGGAGCAGTTTGCTCACCATGCAGACGGTATTGCACAGAGATGCCCATGATGGCCAGGATGTCTCTGTCCACCAGCAGACACCCACCTTCGTGAGACTTCGGACAGACAACTCTCTTCCCTTCTTTCACAAGCTTAAATTATGGAGTCCACCCCTGATCATGGAGATTTTTGGCATTGCAGTAAAAAAAACCCCAAAGAGAGCTCATCTTAAGCCAGGACTGACACTGTGCTAGGTGCTGTGCAAACTCAGATCTCAGTGACAGCTACAGTTGCATGAAACTTTCAATCAGAGCAGAAAACAACAGGGGCGTAGCAGGAGGAAGGAGATGAGAACAAAGCAGTGGCTCCTGCTATCCTGACATCCCTGCAAAGGACTGCGTTGCTTCCAGGCAGCCCCCAGTGCGAGAGGAGATGCTGCTCAGAGGGGAAGGGGACACCGCTTGTCTGCTGCAGGGAGGATGCTGTGAATCTGTGAGTAAGGCATGCAGTCCCTAGCTGGCTTCAAAGTGCATTTTCTCTCTTTACAAGTGTGCATTCCTCCCCCCTAAAACTGTTTATTTTTGTGAAACTTTGAAGTCTAGCTCAAATACAACAAAAGCTAGTTAAGTTTTTTTTTTTTCCTTTTCCCCTTTGGTTGATAGGAAGAGAAAAAAAGAGAGAGAGAGAGAAACGTGTTGGATAAGCTCTTTCTTTATCTGCAGCAATAAAATATTTAAAGCAAAGCTTGGCTGAACCTCCAGTCCAAATGTCACCTTGGCCCTAATATTTCACTTCTTGTTATGAGTTTAATTTGTATTTATTGGTGCTGCACAGTTCTACATTTATGCAGTCGCTCTGGCTTCGTACTTGTAGGATCATCCTTTAGTGAGCTGCCACTTGCCCCCCTCCATCCCGCCTTCCTCTTTCCGATATTTAAAGCAAAGCTTGGCTGAACCTCCAGTCCAAATGTCACCTTGGCCCTAATATTTCACTTCTTGTTATGAGTTTAATTTGTATTTATTGGTGCTGCACAGTTCTACATTTATGCAGTCGCTCTGGCTTCGTACTTGTAGGATCATCCTTTAGTGAGCTGCCACTTGCCCCCCTCCATCCCGCCTTCCTCTTTCCGACAGTCACAGAGGGGTGGCTGGGGGGCAGGAGTTTG